TCTTGATGTTGTGACAAAAACAAAAAACAAAAAAAACAAAACAAAATAAACTTTGATTTTGTTGGTTGGAAGGCACTGAGTGCTGGAGGACTCTTGTACTATTCTTTTTTCCTTGTTATGTTGTATTTACATTGTTTAGACCAGTCTCTCCAAACAAATGTAGCTGGAAAGTATGAGTTTAATTGAAAATTTCTATCAAATGGGACAATAATTTTATTATTTTAGTCTTAAGTAAAAGGCCATAGCAATTTTGTAGGACCTTTATATGCAGTTTTAGCTTCCATAGGAAGATTGAGATTTCTCTAAAACTTGTCTAGTTGAATGATTTTTGGATGGGCAAAACCAAGAAAAATAAGGAAGAGCATAACAATAGGAAGAGAAGGGTTCTGTTTGGTGTAGCTGTTAAAACAAATTATAGATTATAGCGTAACAGATTATAGATTATGACTTTAATTAAAAGTTGTTAATTTGTTTGGTATAACTGTTGGATTATAGATTTAAGTGGAAATTATTGAAAACTCTCATTTTGGAGAGTTGTAGTCTAATAGGTCCTTTTTTAAAATTAATACACGTCCCAGTCCTATTTTTTTTATGGGATGGGTTTTCTGACTTTATGTACCCTTCTTTTATGTGGTTGAAAACGTTTGTCTTCTTCAACGTTGTAGGGCGTTGTGTTGGGTTCTTCATTTGCGGCGACGGTCCTCACCACGTCTTGGAAGTACCTCTGGTCCTCAATGCCCAAATCCATAACCTGAACTAGCTCCAACGATCATTGCTGATACTTCCGCTTCGGCGGCGACACGACGGCGGACAACTGGTTCCCTGGGATCGGAACGATCGCTTGAGAATCGGGATCCACGAATTCGACGTCGTTGTTCTTCTGCGAATAGGTTGAGATCTGGAAATTGGATAAGAGAACCCATTTCTTGTTTTTCTAGAGAGAGAAAGAGAGGGTAAAGATGGGTTCTTGGTCATGAAAGAGAGAGAGAGAAAGAGCTAAAGAAGGTTTGTCCATAGAGGAGAGAGAGAGAGAGAGAGAGAGAGAGAGTTTAACCTCCGTCTTTGGAAACAACAAACTTACATATCTAGGGTGTATGAGAGGGTTTAAGAACGTCGTTGGAAAATTCGAAGGTCTTCGAAGATCTTTGAAGAACAACTTCGAATTCTCTAGAAGATGATGAGAGGTTTAGATTCTTCAATAGTTTCAACTCAAGAACACAAGAGTAAATGAGATGATGGAGATAAGAGATTGGGTGAAGAAGAAGGCAAAATGGCTAGAGAGAGAATAATGGCAAGGCTCTCCCATGGATCTCCCACTTTCACTCTCAAGGTTGATAATGGAGAAGGGAAATTAGTTCTTTCCCAAGAGTTAAATCTCCAAAATCCATCCCTTGTAAAGTTATGGGTGGGTGTTATTTATAGGCATCTTATGATGTAGGATGAAGCCCATGTGCAAGGCACATGGGGAATATTCTCTCTAACCACCTTATCCGAGGAGGTGACCTCTCCGAAGATGAGGAAAACCCCAAAGAGGAGATCAACCTCTCGGCGAACCCTTCTTCTTAGCCACACCTAACCAATGATCCCCAATCATCCCAAAGGGTTAGGGGTAGTCCCAGAGGATGTCCTGCCGCATAAGGGTCAGGGGTAGTTCAAGAGAACGCCTTGCCGCAAATATTGTCGAGTCTCAGGGACCCCCTAGATCGTGCCACCTCGACCCGGGTATAGGCTAGTTTAATCAAATAGTGAATTTATCTCCACTTACCGTCCTCGGGATCGGGTCCTTTGTTTGGACTCCATTACGCCCATGGTTCTAGTACGTAGATCCCGGAAAGTTCTGAGTCTGCAAGTGTTCTAGGACTCATTAATGGAGTGGCTTCTAGATTGCGTTTGAATCCGTTCGAAGCCAAGTGCTTCGGATCTCTAGATTCGTGGGTCCAAATCCTTTCGAGTCCGAGTGCCTCGGATCTCTAGGCTTGCTCAATACCCTTTCGAGTCCGGGCCCGAGTAAGTCTCTAAGTTCGTGGATCCGAACCCTTTCAAGGCTTAAAGCGATTCGGCCCGTTTGATGGCGGTAAATCCGGGCCCACCAATCTTAGACTTGCGATAAATTCCCACCAACCTTGGACTATAGGACCTAACTAATTTAGTGGGCTTAAATTGGCTCCTCTTACATAGGGCCAAATAAACATCGTCACAGTGGCGACACAAATCCGTCGTGAAACCCTACAATACTATCACCACACCATGGTTGCCACCGAAATCCTCAGTTGCAGTGGGTCACACTTTAGAATCGAAATGTAACTCTTCAAACACTTTTCAAAATGTGGGGTTTCATAGGATAGACTTGCAATATGATGTGGGCACACCAAAATGTGGTTCAGCAAATTGATGTGGGCGATCAAAAAGTGGTTCACCAAACTGATGTGGTCCATCAAATTGTGGTTATGGAAAATGATGTGTGCTCCCCCAAACGTGGGCTCCCAAAATGTTTTAGCCCATCAACGTGGGGGCCACAGGATAGACTTGCAGTACGACGTGGGCCACCAAAATGTGGTTCAGCAAATTGACGTGGGCCATAAAAACGTGGACCCTCATAAATCCATAAAACTCTATAGTAATCTTTTACAAAACGTTACATACACTCATATCATTATAACATAATATCACAAATCAAAAAACAGTACATACATGGGCAAAACAGTCTACCCCCAATTAATGGGACCTTTGGGTGTAACAAATTAAATATGGGACTGATTAGATTACAATTCCACCTTTTAAGATTTATGAGTCAATTCCCCTAAATTTAAGTTGCTGAGTAGTGTTTGTTAAATAAGCTGTGAAATAGTTTTTTCAATTAATTTTTATTTTTTATTATTCACTATTTGTCTACATTTTTCATAAAAAATAATAATCATATTTTATAGTCCATTTGTGTCTTTTTCTATTTTAAAAAAAATAAAAAATAAAAAAATCTAAGACTATAACCGTGAATTAATATGTCTACAACAGAAGCTGATAATCAGAAGTAAGGAGCGAGCAACTTCTCAGAATCAAATTTTTTTATTTAAAATAAATTGTTAAAATCAGAAACTGTTTGAAATAAGTTTAAATAAACAGTTCAAAATAACTTTGTAAAAGTTAGAAACCATAAGTTAGTTCAAAAAAGTCCAACCAAACACCCCCAAGGTAAAATGGGATGAGATTAGGAAAGTGTGCCCTACAAAGCGGAAGGACAACAGTAAGGCTACCTCTAGGGGTGGTGGATTTAGAATATGAATTTTTATAAAAATTTAAAAATAGAAAGAGAGAAGGTGAGGGAAAATTCGAACAAAATATAATTTTTTTATTTATTTATAAATAATTTGAGTTAAAGAAACAAGAAAAACAAACAATAAATGGGCAAATAGCGAATGTGAAAGAGGGAGAGGGTTCGTATTTTGAGCATTTATCTTGTTTTGACATTTGGGACATTTGGAGCAAATGAAGGGGAGGTGAAATATTTGTTGAGTTGGTACCATTGATTTTACTAATAGGCTGGGGGTTTGTGCAGCTATTGTACTTTGATCAGGTAGAAAACGGTGGATACAGTCTTGCACTTCAGGTATAAAGTGTCCTTTTGGCAATTGTGGATTGTTGTTAATGTGGAAATTATTGATGTAATTTAGTTTATTCCCCTTTGATTATCTCACTAAATGTCTGACCAATATTTGGACTAGTTAAATGATAAAAATAAAGTTAAATATTATATGAATTAAAATATTAAAGAAATCCAATGTGATTAATCTAAACTTGGGAGGGCTTATTAATTTTTACTCAAATAATAAATATTGAATTATGTGTCAAAAAAATGGACTTGATTAGGACTGCAAATGAACTGAGTTGTTTATGAACAGGTTCGGCTCAATTCGTTAAGGGTTTGATTCGGCTTGAGTCGTTTAATAAATGAGTTGAATTTGAATTCGAATAAACTCGGTTCATTCAATAAATAAATCTTTATTTAAATTATATAATAAATATATTATTTATATATTAAATAATACAAATAATATTTTTTACTTAATATATTTTTATTTAAATAATATAAGTAATATTAAAAATAATCCTATGGAGCCGAATTACACTAAAGTTGAGTCTAATTACTTATTGAACCGAGTTCAAACTTAATAAATACAACAATACTAGGTATCATGAAAAGTCTTTTATGAAAATGATCATGAAAGATTTGTGACTTTTAAATTACACTTAAAATAAAATATCACACACTAATTAAATTTCATAATTATTTTCATAAAATTTTTTTTATGATACTAACATTTCTCTAATAAATAAGCTTGATAACCAAAGGAGTCGAGCTCGCGGCTCGTTTAACCCGAGACTTGATATAGACTCCCAATCTCTGTCGACAAGAGAGTCCTGAAACAAAACACAACCTACAGAAAAACAGAGCATATGAAGCCTTGCTATAGAAACAGAAACTCTTTGCATTACTAACTTCCAACTTTACATTATATACATAGCTCTACAGAAACATTAAATTTAATCACTAACATAACCCAGAATTTATCAACAAACACCAACAAAAACAAAATCAATTAATTCAGGAACAAAACAAACAAATCAAATTAAGCACGAGGAAACATGTTACAAACAGAATCAACTTCCCGATCGCATCGACAACCATCGCATTCAACTTCATCATCATCATCTTCATCGTCACTCTCCCACCCTCTTCTTCTTCTTCCCAATCTCTCGTGTCGATCATCTTCGTTGTCTCTTATTGCACAACAAGTACTGGATCTCTATTTTTGAACCAGTGGGTTCACTACCCAGATCATCCTAACAATTTCTCTCAACTTGTCTCGACACTCTCTGATCAATCTTCTTTTTCCTGATGTGGGTTTTGATTTGTGTATGCTGCTGAGAATTCGAATGCCCTGTTTCTTGAAATCGTCGTCTTCATTGAAGAGAAAGATGATGCTGAGTGCGTACAGAGCTCCTCAGTGTCCAGAACTTGCTGCTCTGTTCAGAGACTCTAGTCCAGACTCTATTCTCATCAAACTGAAGTAATCAACCTGAAAAAGACACACAAGAATGGACATTAAATTAATTCAATAATCGTAACTAACAATAATTTAGTTTTTGAAAAAATAAATGATGTACTGTAAATCACGAGACTATAAGTATCAAATCAATATATTTTTTATTCTATTTATTGATGATCCACCTGCGAAAACCAACAAAATGAAGAAATAGAACTTATGTTTTGCAATTAATACGAATATAAATTTAATTTTGATGATAATAATTATGTTTTTGTTGTTATTATGATTAATATTGCTTACCACTCCTTGCCTATACAATGCCTCTGGATTTCCACTCTCTTTGCACTTGTTCAAGAAACAAGAAGCTTCAATAGTTACACGCCATGGTACCACTGGAAATTTTTCTAGGGACATTTGTTGATATATGTAGTTATCATCAGCTGCTTCATTCAAAATCTTGCTACTGTAAAAATCAAGAAACAAAAAATATTAAATAAACAGAAAGTTCGAATTCTGAAGAAAAAGGAAGAAAAGAATGACTAGAGATTCAATAATTCTAGTTAGAAGTCAGCTTTTAATTTATTTTGAGTCATATCACCTCTCACATAAAAAGAGTCAAAAAAATTAAAAGTTAATTTTTAACTATTACACCCCAAAACTAATCATAGAAACCCGTCATAAAAAATATAACTGAAACAAGTGAAGCAAGAGTCTTACTGTTTAACCTGCATGACCAAATCATTTAGAATTAGTTCGACTTGTTTGAAAAGTTGGCTATTTTAATAGATTATTTTAGTTTTTGACTATTTTAGTAGGTTAAAATTTTTATGTTTGGAAATATGGCTAGATTTTTTTATAGTTAGATGTAATATTTGTGAAAGAAAAAATTGAAATGATTATGAATTTGATATGATATTTTATCTTATTGACTATTTTAATTTATTTTGTCTTTTTATATATTTTAATCTAAAAGTCAAAAATCTGCTTCCCAAACAGGGCCGTTATATAGTGAGACGAGGGATATACCTTAACTTGGCATTGAAGAAATCAGTAAAAGAAGAAGAAGCTATTCGACCTAAGACTTCTACCACCACCTCACTTGGAAGAGACTCAAAGCTTGCAACAATAACCTCCCTCCCATTCTTGTTTTCTTTACTTCTTCTTCTGCCTATTCTTTTCATCAACTTTGATCCACCCATTGCTAGAGAGAGGGAGAGGGAGAGAGGGAGAGGGAATGAATGAATGAATGACTGAGAGAGAGAGATAGAGAGAGGGTTCATGGGGTTTTCATGGGCAGGTCTTTTTCCATTCCAATTAAGGAAAGGAGTACCTGGTCTCCAAAATTAGATTTTAAGGGACACGATTCAACCTGATCATATTATATGCCAAAAAACTACACCGTTTTGATGTGTTACTTCACTGTCTTTATGAACTTCCTAATCTGCTTTCCTAATTTGATTCTCTTCCAGTCCAAAGTAGGATTGGACTATCTTTGACACGTTACTAGGGCACATGAAAATTGTGATATGGTGGGGAAGCTTCTAAATAAACTCTCCAGATTTATCTATGCTTATGTCCAAGTAATTTTTTTTTTAAATACAAAATTTATAATATTTATTGTGAATGTATAAAAAAAAATTAAGTGGGTATATTTTAGAGGTAATTATTTTGGTTTTTGAGAACACCATTTTGGTGGTGTGCCTATAAGGGCGGACTTAGGACTGGGCATAGATGGCTACATTCCAGTCCAAAATTTAAAAAATCTGTAGAAATTTTTTTCTCCAACCCAGCCCAGCCTCGCCCCAAATAAGGGCCAATAGTTTTTTTGTTTATTTTTTAGATAGACAGCCCAATAGCAGCCCAATACTTACCCTTAAAAATAGATAGGCAGCCCAATAAATTTGTATTTGTTTAAAGAACAAATCTCACAAAACAATCCTCACATCTTCCGATAGATAGGCAACAGCCCTCTCCATCGTCTCCAACAACTTAGAGCAGCTCCACTTTCCTAACATTTTTGGTAAGTATAATTAACCAATTATTTTATTTCGTTGGTTGAGAATAGATTTGATTAACAATGGCTTTGAAATTGTCTTTATGCAACAAATATTATATTGCTCTTAGTATTTTTATGATGCTACCTTATTCAATGTTCTATATTGCCCTTAGTTTTTAAACTTTGAAAGAGTTTTTTTGGACATATATGAAAATAATGGAAACTTATATAAAAATTATTGAGGATATATATAAAAACTCTAATATTTAAAATTATTGCGAATATACTCTTATTTAATATTAAATAGAGTTAATTTTTTTTTAATTTTTTTTTTTAGGTTATAAATAATGGAATCTCCACACTCAAAAAAAGCAAAACCCTTTTCTCATTCTATCAATCAAAATAGAAGTCTAAGTAGTATAACATTTAATGTTGTTGAAACCTCATTTTTTGATGTGCAACCGCCTTCCATGCCTCAAACAAATAAACCAAGCGAATTTGATTCAATTGTTATTGAACGGGATCTTGGTTTACGCTACGCTTGCTAATTTGTGAATATCCGGTTAATCAACGAGATGCGGTTAAATGAGCTTATGTGAACTTGGGGTCTTATTAGCCTAAATTTGGGTATCCTATGTACTCATTTGGAAAGCAGAATCACCGATTTTAATATATTTGGTTTAAACAATTTTCTTAACTAGAGTATTCTCTTTCAAAGGATAGGGCATATTGTTTTTTATGATTTTTGAAAATTGATCTAGATTCTGTAATCGATGAATTTAAATCTTTAAAGACTCGTCGAACACAACTTAATTAGATTGTTTCTAATCAATAAATTTAGATATTAATCTAGATTATATTATTAAACTCTCTTTTTTTCTTATGTGGTTATACTTAACATATATTGTATAATTTTACCTTAATATTAGCTCATCCCATCGACGAATCTTGGATCCACCCTTGTGTGTCTGACCAATAAAAACAATTATATACCTATATGACTTATAAAAATATGAAAATTGAGCATAGAGTCATGTGATGTTTCAAAAAAAATTAATTTTTAGTCTCTTAAAGTTTCTATGAGTGTAGAAAAAAAAACAGAATAGCTAACCGATGGTATTAATCTGTAATTACAATCTGTTATTACAAATTTAGAATTGTATTTATTTATTTTTTTTGTGAATTTGTAATATTATTGTTATTATTAGTGGAATGGGAAGAACATATTCGGGTCAGGGTACACAAATTCCAGAGTACAGGTCCTGTATTTTGGTACACGTCCTAATGGCAAGATTGACCTTTTCCATATCAGTGTTTTATATGCTGTTTGGACAATTCATATTAATTTAACTGGAATTTTTTTTTATGGGATTGAATTGTCTCTAATTTTTTTCCATATGAGATACATTTTGAATATACAAAAACAAATTTTCATTGTTTTCTAAAAAGTAAATTGTTTATATACTTAGCATCATCTTCCTCTTTAATGAAGACAACGAGTTCAAGAAACAGCGCATTCAAATTCTCAGCAGCACACGCAAATCAAAACCCACATTAGGAAGAAGAAGATTGATCAGAAAGTGTCGAGATAATTTGAGAGAAATTGTTAGGATGATTTGAATAGCGAACCCATTGGTTCAAAAATAGAGATCCAGTACTTGTTGTGTGCAATGCGAGATAACGATAATGATCGACACGAGAGATTATGGGGTAATATAGTAATTGAATTCAATGTTTATATAGATATATGTCAATGATGTAATGTAAAGTTTGAAGGTAGTAATGCCAAGAGTTCTGATTCTTATAGCAAGGCTTTATATGCTCTGTTTGCCTTAGGAATGGCAACGGGCCGGGGCGGGGCCGGGGACCCCACTCCTCATCTCCGAAGGTTAAAATATCCCCGTTCCCGTCCCCGATCCCCGGCGGGGGGAAACTCATCACTCCCCATCCTCGTCCCCAACGGGGATCAGGTTTCCCCAACCCCGAAAAATCCCCGAGTTTTTTTTAAATTTTTTTTTTTATTTTGTTCAAGAACAACAAATCAACATAGCAAATCTGAGTACCAACAATCATCATCAATAGATTTAAATTAAAAAAACAATTAATCTGAAAAAAAAAAATGTTTTCATTATCATCAACAGATTTAATTTATAAAAAAAAAAAAATCTGAAAAAAATATATATATACATAATCATCATCTCAACAGATTTAAACTAAAAAAAAAAATTTGAAAAAAAAAAAAATAGATGTGATACAGATCTAACAGTAACAGATCTGATCTAAGAGACCGTGGCTGTGGCGAGATCAATGGCGGCTGTGGCGAGATTAACACAGGTATTAGCGGTTGTGGCTGTGGCTGTGGCTGTTGCGAGATCAACGGCGGTGGTGGGACACGCTGACTGTGAGAGTGAGAGAGTTGAGAGAGAAGAACGAGAGGGTGAGTGAGAAGAACGAGCGACTGTGGCGAGATCAACGGCAGTGGTGGGACACGCCGACTGTGAGAGAGAGAGTTGAGAGAGAAGAACGAGAGGGTGAGTGAGAAGAACGAGAGAGTGATAGACTTGAGAGAGTGATAGATATAATGAACTGAGATAGATATAATGAACTCAGATAGATATATATTATAATACAATTAGTGAGTGATTTTTTAACACAGGTATTAGCGGGGAAATTTCGGGGCGGGGCCGGGCAGGGTCCGGGGCTCAGGAGTCTATCCCCGTCCCCGGCCCGAAATTGATCGGGGAGTGATTTTTTAATACCATCCCCGTCCCCGTAGGGATATTTTTCGGGGAAAAACCACTTATTTCGGGGTCGGGGGATCGGGTCCCCGTCGGGCCAGGTTTAAATTGCCATCCCTAGTTTGCCTCTGTTTTATGTTTTGTTTATTAAATGTTCCAAAAACTATACGTGTTATTACTCCTAACTAATCATTAATTGTCATGCCTCTTTATTGTTCTGTCATTATCAACAAAAATCAATGAGTCCCATCATCTCTACCGTCACATTCGACTTGAAGTACCACATGACCATGTATTTTGATCACCAAATAACTTCTCTTATTAATGTCATGACCTAACCCCCGCCCCACAGGATTAGAGACGTAACCGGCCAGTAATCCGCAATTACCAAAGACCTACTGAATAATAAATAGTAAAGGGCTGGTGGAAGTCAATAAAATCACAAATCATCGTCCAATGAGCTGTGAACTAAAATGAGTAAACACACCTTATATACATCACTGTACAATCATCCCATACCTTTAACACATCATATACATGTACCAAAAGCAAACACATTACCCAAACAAGCGTAAGACCAAAAACACTTTGCTACAAGTCACTTGATCACTTTACAAAAGGGTAAGTTCATATTCACCCAAAAGCCTTAGAGTTAGACCCAAAAGAAACCCTGAAGGGAGGCACTACGGTTGGCTTGACAAACTAGAAAGTAGGTTGACGCCCTTAACTTCTCTCTTAAGTTGGATCCCCTACATGATAGACATAAACTGTGAGCCAAAACCCAGTGAATAACAATGTGTAAAAAAAAAGGTTAGAAATAATATCTATTTGGATAGTAAAATCAAGTCATATAGCAGTAACATATTCGTTAAACATAGCAATCATGTGGAACCACAGGTTCATATACCAGTTCTTCAAATCAGGTTCATATAACTCGATATCTCATACGCATCTGGCCATGGTACTGTTACCCTCAGACGAAGGCCACATGATCATAGGCCGCAGTATTTTTACCTCCGGGCAAGGGCCACATAAACATAGACCATGGTATTATTACCCTCGGATGAGGGCCAAGTGGAGATATGCCACGGTATTATTACCCCCGTGTACGGGCCACATGAATATAGACGGCAGTATTATTACCCCTGGGTATGGGTCACGTGAGCATTTTATATGGAGTGGGTTCACGTATTCAGTAAACATATCACTATAGAACAGACTTTAACAATATCAATAACAATCCAAAAGAATTATAATTCAAGCATAGTTTTACTACATTGTCACTCACCGTTAGTCCCGTGTAGCACTTGACTAGGATGCGGCGTCTGACCTACGTAGGCACATGAAAACATAATGGTTCAATATTCAATTAGTCACTAACTTCTCCATTACTTATTACTAATCATTTAACCCGATCATTTTTATTTTTTCGTTTCGTTTTAATTCATCCTATGCACATGCACATGAAAAACAATTGAAAACCATGTAATTAGAGGCCCGAAAGTAAAAGAAATCAGGAGAAAAATCAATCTGGGCTGGCCTTGTTGGCCGCATGTGCGGTGGTCTGGCCGCTCGTGCGGTGTCCTAGGCCGCACGTGCGGGTGAACTTCAGTGTGCAAATTTGGCCAAACCAAGCTTGGCCGCTCGAGCGATGGCCCAGGCCGCTCGAGCGGTCTAGATGAAAAATCAATTCGAATTTCTACTGAATATGGAGTTTTTCCCCCTTTCAAAACCCAATCTTATTTACACAAAAGGAGGCTCAAAAACACTTCAAAACTAGAGGAATTGATTACTTCCAACTTCAAACAAGTTAGCAAGGCTCAAGCTTCAAAGAAGACCAAAAAATCATGAACCTTAGATGTATACAATTTTCGATGTATGCAAACTTGAGTGTTAAAGTAAAAACTCTTGCAATTTACTCTCCAAATCCCAAATTTCTTGCAAGATGCAAGTGATGATGCCATGTATTTCAAGGATAAGAGTTGACTATTTTCATTTCTTCACTTTAGGGTTCCTATCATCACTTTACATTGCCTAACTTCTCAATTCATCTAAATTTCTATGATTCCATGGACAAACAATTTCAATTCTTGAAATTAAAGGAAAGTTTCTTACCTTAGATGGATGAATTAGTGAAGATTTGGTTAAGCTCTTCTACTTCTCTTCTTCCTCTATCTTCCTTCTACTCTTAAGGCTCTCTCTCAAGGTGTCTCTGAACCAACCACTATCTCTCCTTATTTACCTCTTTTGTTGACTTGAGTTAAGTCTTGTTTGGATTTTCCTAATTCTCTTCCCAAGTCTAAGTTAATAATTCAATTCTCATCATAAATCTCTTAATTAACACTAAATTAAAACGTACTACTGTGAATCAGTCTCTAATTGCCTATTTCAAATATTTAATTTTAATCTTATAGTTCACTGATTCAGGCAGGTTTATTGCCCATTTCCATCTATCTTTCTAACTAATTCACTACCATGAACATATAGCACAAATAACAAATGGTACATATAACATATGACATACAATTAGGCATAATAAACCCATAAGCAAGGCAAATTACGTAATTTAACAATTTATTAAGGGTGCGGCTGTTACAATTAACCACTTGTTTTTATTTTATTTTTTATTTTTTATTAGATTGTACTTAAAACATGAATTTTGTTAAGAACTTGAAAAAGAGGGGGGTGGGGGTTTGGTGGCGGAGGGAAGAGATTTGAAATATAAATACAGTTATATTTTTCCTTTTCATTTTCTAAATCCATATACTCAAAATTCATGCTCTAAATACAACCTTAATACGTACAAAAGTCTTGAAAATTTGCTAAGAATTTTAACTAAGATGAAAAAGTATGGTGGGGAGTTAATCGATGGATTGGGACCCGTTAATAATGAGATTGGCCTTTCAAATTAATCGATTTAATGAATTGGACACCGAGTTATTTAAAAAATTAAAAAAATAGAATCCATACAAAGAATGAATTTGAAATGTATTGATATTTGGTAAAATACAATTCAGTCTACATGTAAAAAAATATTACTCATAAATAATTTTTTTTATAAATATTAATAATTAAAAGTCTAAATTTTTTCATGTTTTTATAAATATTTTTCAAAAATCCCACTTAATTGTAATTGTCCCTTGATATTTCTAAATAAAAATTGTCAGTGTGTTGGTTTTTTGGACAGCTTCTGATGACCTAGACCTTTTGAGAGTTCAATTTCAATACACATCTTTGAAAAGTACATATCTTGCGTGCTTCGAAAAGATACCAATTATAAATATTAATAATTAAAAGTCTAAATTTTTTCATGTTTTTATAAATATTTTTCAAAAATCCCACTTAATTGTAATTGTCCCTTGATATTTCTAAATAGGAAAACGTTTGAGGGCTATAATTTTTGTGGCTCAAATGACTCAAAATTGTCAAAATGACGTCGTTTTGACAATTTTAAAATTGTTTTGTACTCAAAACGACATCATTTTAATAATTTCGAGTCATTTGAACCATAAAAATCATGACCTTCAATCATTGTTCTAAATAAAAATTGTCAGTGTGTTGGTTTTTTGGACAGCTTCTGATGACCTAGACCTTTTGAGAGTTCAATTTCAATACACATCTTTGAAAAGTACATAACTTGGGTGCTTCGAAAAGATACCAAGCCCTAAACAAACTCAGCCGATCAGAAGATGCACTCATTGAGGGCCCATTGGTCGACGGATACGTAGTGTGCCCTTAGGCCATCTCCAATATCGCATCATATTGTTCATTAAATTTAAATTTAATAAAAAATATTTTAAATATCAGCTTTTTATTAAACTAATATTAAATGGAAGGAGAATTAAATATTTCATCAAATTAAGTGAGTTTTTATCTTTCATCAAATTTTGCATGTAGTCATTAGGCCGAACATCCGCCTGGACGTCTTCTTGGACAACCGAATTTTCTTTATCTGAACGTCAATTTTAACTCATAGCCGGATGTCCATCTAGACATCCTCCCAGACAATTGGACTTATACAAAAATTTGATGAAAATTTTAAATTTATCATTGGAATGCATCGTATCAGACCAAACGATTTGTTAATTTTTTACTCAAATTTGATAAAAAAATTTATACAACGTTGAAGATACTCTTATAACCCTCTGGCCATACCCAAAAAAAAAAAAAAAAAAAAAATTTTCTTTCACCTTACAATTTACATGTTCTTTTATAAAAAAAAATTTTTTTTAAAAATTTGCAAATATATTTAATTTTCCAAGTTACTAAAAATGTCACTTCTCAAACTGCCTCTTAACTTTCTTTTTATATTTCACTTATAAATTAATTTATTAATTTAAAATAAGTTTGTAAATAATTATTCTATAAAAAGATTAGTTATTTGACATATTTTTAATTTCTATTGTTTTTTTAAGTGACTTAAGTTAAACTTCTAGGAAAAAAAATTGGTATGAAAAATTACGTGAAACATTTTTAAGCAAAATAAGCTTATAAGTTGTTTCAAATGAAGCCCTTGTTGTCGCTTAAAAAATAAGTATAAAATTTAATTTTGAAGAATTACAGAAAGAAAAACTCTAGGATTTGATGTTTGTAACAAATCAAATTTTATTCACCCAAAAAACAAATCAAAATTTTAGATTGTGTTTTTATGGTCGTCTAGTCCATGTACTATCATATCATCATTAACTGGTATCTTGTACGATATGCTATTCTTATCTATTACAACAGTTTTGTAAAATAAATAATCATTATTATTTTATTTTCAAATTGACAGCATGTTCACAGTTGTCATGGTAATGAAACATATAAAGACAGTTTTTGTGTGTTTTTTGTTTTTTTAAGGATTCTCAAGATCCATTTGAAGTTTACCATTCAAACAAGAAAAATGTTTGGCAACACTAAGCTTCCGTTTGGGAAGTGGGTTATTTTGTCAATTATATGTTCTCATCGTATTAATTTAATTTAAGAAGTCTCACCATTTATATCACGTACTAAATAAAATATTATTAATATTATATTATTACTGAATAATTGCTATATTATACAGTGCCCCAAACTTGTACACGTATTTAGGTCTCGTTTGGGAATATATTTTTTAGTAATTTTTAGATTTTTTAGCTAAAATATGAGGTAAAAAAATTAATAGGTTTGGAATGACTTTTTAGTTTTTTTACGAAACGATGTGCAAAAAGTAGAGAAAAAAAAGAAAATTTTGACTTTTTAGTATAGATTATAGACATTTTAGTTTTTTTTAATAACTTTTTAGCTTTTAGATTAAAACACTCGCATACCAAACGAGGCCTTAAGCTATGGGATAAATTGATTTGATTAAACTCAGCTTAAAGGCTTAATCAAATTGAAAATCAATTTAGTTATAATTTCTTAATCAATTCAGGGTGAATTGGGCGTTTCAGCAAGTATTTTCTGAGTGTATAATTTAACATATATTCTTTCAATATCTACGTAACCACACAATTAATGAATTTGAGTTTGCAGGCTTTTTTGGCTATTTTAGCCACAAAAAACAAAATAGGCTATTTTAGCCATAACAAACAAAACATCACATCCAACCCATAATCAAC